TCTCCATTTCTCATCCAGGGAAATATAATATTCTGCCTTTTTAATATTTCCCAAAATATTTCATTCTTCTAGGAAAGGGGTGCTAACCTCCTACAACTGTTTAAATTTGTGGACCGGCCAAATACTCTGTTCAAAGAAAATACGTTGTATGTTTGTATGTGTGTTTCTAATTATTGCTGTTTATTCCTATTTGTTCTCTTTTATTCTTTAAAGTTTAACAATTCATTCTTTATCTTAATATCTTTATATTTGTTTGGGGTTGGCTTTCTTCCCTTTCATCTTTTTTATTGTACAGCAATCTTTCTCTTCAAACCTACCACTTCTGTCTTTTCTTTCCTTCTTACTTTCTCTTCCCCCCCTTCTTCTTCTCCTTACTTCCTCTTCCTTTCTCCTTCCCCTCCTCTCTTCCTCCTTCTCTTACCCTCACTCCTACTCTAATTTCCCTTCCCTTCCTTCATCCCTCTCTATTGCTGTATCCTTTTATGCATATGGACTACTCAGAGGGCTGAAAAAGTTATTTTTGACTGGTCCTCGCACTTTTGACCAGTCCTCGAACTTACGACTGTCCTCACAATTTATGTTTTTGCCCTATCTTGTCACCATGGTAAGAGAAGCAGTTGTGAAATGAGTGACACGGTTGTTAAGAATGGTACAATGGGCATAAATGATGACCAGTCATAACTGCGAAGACCGGTCAAAAGTGCGAGGACCTGTCAGAAATCACATTTTTCAGCCCTCTGGGTAGTCCTTTTGTGCACAGGGACTACTCAGAGGACTGAAAAAGTTATCCTCACACTTTTGACCAGTTCTCGAATTTACGACTGTCCTCACATTTTACGTTTTTTGCCCTATCTTATACCATGTTGAAGAGAAGCAGTTGTGAAATGAGTGACATGGTTGTTAAGAATGCTGCACAGGCATAAATGTGAGGATGGTCATAAGTGTGAGGACCAGTCAAAAGTGCGAGGACCAGTCAAAAATAACTTTTTTCAGCCCTCTGAGTAGTCCCTATACACATAGCCATGGCCACCTGGTCACATGGCCAGCTAGCCATGCCCACCCAGTCACATGACCTCCAAGCGACGCCCACAAAATAAGCCACGCCCACAGAACCGGTAGTAAAAAAAATTTAGAACCCACCCCTGGTTGGGGGTCACCACAACATGAGGAGCTGTATTAAAGGGTCGCGGCATTAGGAAGGTTGAGAACCACTGATCTAGAAAAATGGCAAAAATAACTATAAGATGACAATGTCTACAGCATATAAGGAGAATTTGTATAAGAGGTTTTACAGGTGGCATCTATCCCTGGCGAGGATAGCCAGAATGTTTAAGAATAAATCGGAGAAATGCTGGAAGTGTCACCAGACACCAGGATCATATTACCATATGTGGTGGACATGCGGAGAAGCAAAGAGATATTGGACTAAGATACACACGTGGTTGGAAAAAATGATAAAGAGACATATTGACTTTAAACCAGAGATATTTTTATTAGGGATCTTACCAGAGATATATAATAAAGAACTGCAATATTTAATGGTGAATGTTTTAACAGCGGCTATAATTGTATTTGCAAAAAAATGGAAAGGAGAGAAAATACCCACTGATGAAGAAATTATTAAGAAAATGATGGAGTGTGCTGAAATGAGTAAATTGACATTTGAAATAAGAGAACAGGAAGATAATCATTATTATTTGATATGGGGTTTGTTTTATCGTTGGATAGAAAATAAAACATGGAGATGAAATATGATACATGAAGTGAAATTAAGATAAAATGTATAAAAATTTGTTTTTGGGAAAAGAAGCATGTGTCATATATCAATATTTTGAAGATTTTGTGAGCACAAAAGGATGCTAACCAACTGATACACTGTCTGTAATTGTTTGAAAAGATGATGCTTTTTGTTTGAAAATAAAAAAAATCTTGAAAAAAAATAATATGTCTGTGTGTAATTGAATGCTGTATATCAGGGGTGTCAAACTCGTGGACCACGGCCGCACCTACCCCAGCTCCGGGAAGGGAAAAAAGTCATGATATGTCATGTGATGGCAATGTGATGTGGCGGGTTTGACACCCGTGTTGTATATTATTAAATAAAAGTCCTATTGGAATACAATAATCTTAGACCCATAGAATTGAAGGTGATAGAGATTATTTAGCCTGTTCTATTAACTTAAAGGTTGTACACAGTATTGGGTTGCAAAACCCGTTGCTATCAGTTCGCTCATGCATGTGCGCATGCTCACGCATGTGCGCGATGCTTCTGCACATGCACAGAAGCAGCCAGCGCGGGTGGGCGGAGCCTCCCACCGCCACTGCTACCAGTTTGCCAATCCAGGTAGAACCACTAGCAACCCACCACTGGTTGTACAATAAGGAAGTTCTTACTGATGTTTAGTCTGAACTGCTTCCTCATAGTTTTAATCTCTAGTTCTAGTCCAGCCCTCAAGGATAATAGATGGTAAATCCATTCTCACTTCTGTGTGACAGCCTTTGTATATTTGAAGATTATTTCTCTTCATGTCATTTCTACTGGCTAAACAAACAAGGCCTAGATACTGTAACTGTTCCTAACAGGGCTTTCTCATCACCAAACTAGCCAATGTTGATTCAAATTTAACCTCCATGGAATTACTGTTTGACAGCCAGGTGCCACTACCAAGAAAGTCTTATTGTCAGTGACAACAGACTAGGCTTTTTTTGGTTATAGTATAACCAGAGGAAATCCCCAGATCATTTTAATTGATGGACAGTAAAATACAAGGAGAGACACTCCCTGAAGGAGTTAAGGAAGAAAAGATAGGATTAATAGGGCAGTGGGGAAAGTGCTTTCTCAGAATGGGCACTCAGCTAGTCTGCAATATTAATGGGTTTGCATTAAAATGTGGTGAAAAAAATCACATAATGCCCAAGCATATCTAAGAAAGAACTGCCCTTGTCAGTAGGGCAGATCCAAAATGCCATAGTACAACTTTCCACAAAGAGCAGATTTGATCAATGTTTTATTTAAAAACAATAAAAACAGGAGTGAAAAATGGCTGCAGTGGTTGACAAATTTTGTATTACCTGATGGAGGATCTTTTTTGTAGGTTTCACTCTTCTTAGAATTATAAAAATAGATATATTTAGATCTCTCCCTCCCTCTCCCTTTCTCTCTCTCTCTTCCTCTCTCCCCTCCCCCCTCCCCCCGTCTCAAAATGGTATATTTTATTATTATGACATGCCCTGAATGCTCTCCTTTCATAAACTCATCCAAGTCCTAAAGTGAATGAGATTTAAAAAACTTTAACTGAGAAGTTTTAATACAGTATTCAGAGGGTGTTCAGATGATTCAGCTTACGTCATTATCCATTTTGTTAGCCAAATATGGGGTTAAAGGAAATCAAATTAGTTAATGAATATTTCTTAGTGCTAATCTGACACTACTACACTTTCTATCCAGTTCAGGGAGCAGAGAATGCCAGGATATTTGTTGACGAAGTCAAACAATCAATAATTGTCCTTACTAACCCATTTATCACTCTCCTTACTATCTATGGGTATGTCCTTTTCTGATTGCACTTGAACATTGACAGGTTGTGAAGTGATATTTCCTACTTCTATTGGAAGGTTGTAAAGTACTAATTGCTACTTCTTTCCCATCCCCTGCCCAGTTCATCTAGTTGGTTACTGTAAAAAGAAAACAACCCTCTTGAAAGCTACTGGCATCCTCAAATGAATGAAAACCTTGAGGAACACTTTTCTTGGATATCATGTTCCATGAAGTGGTGGGATTCAGCCAGTTTGCACCACTTCAGGAGAACCGGTTGTTAACTTTCTGAACAGTTGGTAAACTGGTTGTTGGAAGAAATCATTAGGGCAGAGAACCGGTTGTTAAATTACTTGAATCCCACCACTAATCCCATGGCTGATTGACCCTGTCCAACTTAGTGATTCTGTGATATTGACATCTTCAGGACAACCAGGACATTTTGTATAGATGGCCATTCTGGTAACAGTCTAAAATGACCATCTATTTTGGATATGAAGTTACCTGGTTGACCTTGAGTCAGTCAATCTCTCTTATCTATAGGAAGCAGGCAATGTCAAATCAATCCTGAAAAACCTTGCCAAGAAAACTGGAGGATCCAGACAGTTGTCAGCAGTGGTGAAATCCATTTTTTTTTACTACCGGTTCTGTGGACATAGCTTGGTAGATGTGGCAGGGGAAGGATACTGCAAAATCCCCACTCCTCCCCATTCCTGGGGGAAGGATATTGCAAAATCTGGGGCCAGCCAAAGGTGATATTTGCCGATTCTCCGAACTACTCAAAATTTCTGCTACCAGTTCTCTGAACTGCTCAAAATTTCTACTACTGGTTCTCCAGAACCTGTCAGAACCTGCTGGATTTCACCCCTGATTGTCAGGAGTCAACACTAATTCAAGGGCATAAATTAAAATAAATTAAAAATGAAGACATTGATCCTCCTTCACTTGATAGCATTGTTCATACTTGCTGGAAATTTGGAAAGTTGTAGCACAGCTTGGAGGCCCTAAAGTTGAATGGAACAGCCAGAAAGTAGTCAAAATTCAATCTAACTATTGTGTTTCCCCGAAAATAAGACCCTGTCTTATATTTTTTTGAACCCTGAAATAAGCACTTGGCCTTATTTTTGGGGAGGTCTTATTATTTTGGGGCCTGTGGAGCTGGATGGGGCTCCTCTTGCCATCTTACCTGATTTCCAGCTCTGTGGTTAAATATTTTCGGAGAGGGCTTATTTTCAGGGGGAAGTTTATTTTAGCGCATGCGCTCAAAAGCCCGATTGGGTTTATTATCAGGAGATATCTTATTTTTGGGAAAATAGGGTATATTTTACATCTAAGATGTAGAATGATGTATTGGATGGGTCTTAGTAGGAAGAGAGATGGTTTTTGGATTATTATCTATTTACACTACAAAAACTGCTCAAATGGTTCCACCTGTGTTTGCTTGCTTCTGTGTAGTGTTGACCAAAGTGACTCAGACCAATACAGGTGTTAACAACTGTGGGGGAAAAAACAATTAACGTATAAACTGTCAGCTCTACAAAAGAAGGTAAGCTTCAAATTCATTTTGTTCACAGAGCTTGTCATTACAGCTGCTGCTGGGGCTTTATCCTTTTGTTCAGCTAGAGTTCACCCTACCAGAGAGAAGTTATCATTTAACCTTCCTTTTCAACACCCCTTTGTCACTTTTTCCTCTGCACTAGTGAAGCCACATGCCTTTGCCATTAGAAACATTTCACCCCACCCTCTCCAACCAATATAGACAATATTTGGGTGAGATTTTCAGACTAACAAAGACACCTGAAGACAACATTGTAAACATTCAAGAGTCATATATAGCCATAATTGGTCAAAAAATAAAATAAAAATCTAACCAGGGCTTCAACTGAACTCCATTTCCTGAGAGGGATGGGAATTTATATTTAACATTTCCATGAATTTCAGTTCCATGGATTTCAGGCACGACTTATGTTGCTATGCTTCTTTATAATATTAGATAATATTCTCGATAATCACTAATACTTAGATAACTTTAAGTGCTTTTGTACTGCATTTTGGATTAGTTACATAGGCAGCGTGTTTTGGATAATTCTTTAGAGATTCTTGACTTGACTTGATATAGGAAGCTGCAAATCCTTTCTGACTAGCAGCTGTAAGATGTCATTTGTGAGGCACAAATTCATTGCAGAGCAATACATTACATACATACAATATTGTGTTTTTATCTTTATGCATGTTAAGGTCAGTGGTGGGTTCTAATCAGTTTTACCACCGGTTCGCATCATGCTTGCACTTTGCATGTGATCTACTAAATGCTTGCTTATACAAGTATAGTATTACATGCTTTTAGTTGTATTTCTCCGATGTCAACATTAAGAATCATAAGATTACTGCTCTGCCATGTTGTTCCTTCACTGACTAATTGATTAAAGAACTTAATCTTGAAAGGAGGATACAAGGATGACTCTTGTTATGTTTCTTTATCTCTCTCCATCTTTCCACAATGAGATATGGGGGTCAGCTTGTGATAATAACAATTAGAGCCTTGACACTTCTCATAAATCACAGCTGCTATGTTGCCTTTCAAAGAATGTAATGCTTTCATACTATGAAGGATAAGTCTCCTTTATCTGCTTATCTCATTCCCTATCAGCTGTAAAGTTGTAAAACAATTTTTTCTCCACAGGGGCTTCCTATTAATATATACACATATTAAAACTGCCTTTGATTGAAAATTCTGTATAACTTTGTGGTTCTTGTTCTTGGTTCATCTGCTGATTTTGGAAGATAAAATACCTCCTGGTTTTGGAAGATAAAACAGTAATTTGCATCATGTCCTCTAATTGGCATATATTGGATGAGTTTTCCCACCAATAAATATGTAGATAAAATATTATAATTTCCATTCAAATGGCAATGGGAACAGATCCTCCTGGATAAACTCTATATATGTGGTTGCTAAGAACTGATCCCAACTTGATGGCACTTAATCAATATTTTGTTCCAAGGCTGAATCTGAAACGTTTTGGATTTCATATGGAGACCTAAACTTCATGTTGCTCTTGGAGTTTTTTCTTGCAAAAGAAAATGCTTTAATTTTATGTTACTTTTATAATAGCTCATGTTGTGGCCCGCCAGCTCTGCTGGCAGCAAACTCAGATGATGAGAAGGTTGGGGAGGAACGTGGGCCAGTGCTGGAGTCTGGGAAGGCTCTGATGAATGCTCTGGGTCAGATGCAGAGATAGAGCCAGGGCTTTCTGACATTTCCCAGCCACCGGAGAGGCAGCTGCCTTTGGAGGCTGATATGAATGAGGAAGAAGAACAGCTGGGGCCTGTTCCAGATGCACGTATGAACAGAGCAATTAAAAGAGGTGAGCAGCAGAGGACAAGGAATTGACTCGGGAAGCAAAGCACACGTGGACACTGAATCGCCCCTCCTTGGCTGGGGAATAAATAGAAGGAAAGGGGAGTTGCTGTCATAGGAGACAACAATTCGTATTTCTGAAGATTTTGTTCATTGTGTTTAGTGCCACAAAGACTGCTTGCCAGAACTTAATTTGCAGCCTTTCAGCTGGGAGCTTACGGCTTTGCAATTATTACAAGGAACTGATAAGGTCTGTACTACAGTTAACTCCTTGAAGGGCTATTGTCTGGAGTTTTCGGTGGGTGAATGCAATTAATTCACAAAAGGTAAATAAAGAGGATTTTTTTTTTTGACAAGGAGTCTGTTTCTTGCTTCTGCTAAGGCTGGGTCAGAACACCTTAGTACATCATGTTGAGAGAGTTTGTGTAGTGGTTAAAAGCATTAGGCTAGAAATTTGAAGACCATGTATCTTAGTCTTGATATAGGCATGAAGCCATCAGAGTGACCTCAGCCGATCACTTTTTCTCAGCCCTAGGAAGGAGATGGGCAGCCAAGAAATATTGCCAAGAAAACTTCATGGGCTTATCCAGAAAGTCACCAGAAGTCAAGATTCACTCAAAAGCTCATCCCAAAAATATATCTAACAGATGTAGTGGTTGCATTGACTATGCATGATGGGAACTATACTCATTAAATCTGGGGAGAACTAGATAGCCAAAGCAAATTTAAAATGGGCCTACAATGTAAGACTGTTCTCATTTCCCATAAGATAAGTAGATATGTCATACAATAGGGTCACATAGCAAAAATGTGTTAATTTAAAGATAATTATCACCTGCTAGTATAATATATAACAGGTTCCAGTACATAAGTATTATGCATATCCAGAAGGGCAGAAGCTACATTTTTATATAAATATATGTTCAGAGATAGTATTCTGTTCAACATTAATGAAACTAAAGCAAAGGGGGAAATTGCTAATTGGAACCTGAAACATAGAGAAATCCAAGCATCAGCTTCAAAATCAAATCTCAAAAGAGCTTATGAAGCAGTATAACACTTAAGCCTAGTTCTGCTATTTGAGATCAGTAGACTGGTTTAGAGACCAATTCATCCAGGTAATAGACTCAAAAAGCTCCCTAAAACAACTCTTTTGGGCAATGGTCCCACCAGAATTTCCAAAATCGCTCAAATTGTCTTTGATATTGGACAATCTAACAGCTGTACATGAGATCATTAGTTAACTTTCTCTTGAAAGATGAGAAGTTTAACCCTCAACCTGGTGACATCACCACACCTGGATCCATCTATGGTTTCATATACAATTAAAAGCCTATTAATGCAGGTAGGTCTAATATATACATTTGATTAGTACATCAACAGCAGGTGCTAAAATTGGGAGAAGGAGTATGGAAACATTTGAATGGGGATTGGTTTAGCAAATAAGTAAATAAAATCATGGTTGTATGCAAAACAAATCATTGGAACTCAATAGGTCTAATGGAATAAAACTCTAATTCACAAATATTCAGTGGAGAAATTTTATCTAGCACACACTTTTCCATTCGTTCATCAACTGTAAGATAAAATGCTGAGACATCAGAGCAATCTGTGGCAGGAAAAATATCAGAACTATATCATGCTTCAAGTATCAAAGTCTCCAGTGCATGTTAGTGAAACAGTTATAAAACCACGGAATGTTGCTTATGAAATTTGTATTGATTCTGTATCAGAATATTTCAACCCATGAAGTTGGCAGGATTGAAAATTCACAAGGATTCAAATATCAGGAAATGGAAAAGCTTGGATTTTTGGAAGAAGTTATTGGAAGTTGGAAAATCAAATGACAGGAAGACTAGGAATATATGAAAGAAAAATATAGGTAAACATGATTGACAAGAGCAACACGAGGAAACAATATAATATTGGGAAAATGTAAATGAACCACTGTTTTGAAGCAACATCAAAATTTCTTAAAGCAGAACAATAGATGCTGGATATTCTGTCCAAAGCAGAGCGTGAGACATTGTTGAAAGGTTTGGAAAGGAATGGAAGAGACAACAGACAAAAGCAATCACAAGACAATCATAAGCAAGTTAGTTGACAACTTGTCTCATCAAAAGCAACTTAACCCAGATGGCAAGAAATCGAGGATAAAGAGTTTTAAATAATTCAGAGACACTGTCTTTTTTCTCTGTTGAGAGATTTCAAATTTTTATATTTACCCAGACTAATATTAAAAACATCTTATTGGAACCTGGGTAGTTTTTGCTTCCTTAATTTTACCTAACTTCATGGGACTTGCAGGTACATTTTACTGCAACTTTATAAGAGTTAAAGCATTACATTGAGAAGAAAATAAAAAAAAGATCTATAAATTCTAGACCAGTATTTTTCAAACTTGGCAACTATAGATTGTGTGGAGTTAATGCCCAGAATTCCCTAGTCAGCATGCTGTCTGGGGAATTCTGGGACTGAAACTCTACACATCTTAAAGTTGCCAAGTTTGAAAAACACTGGATTACATGGATAGGAATTGAGTCCTAAAGTCAAAGGGACTAAGTTAAAATTGAATTAAGCTTGTATATTTTAAAGAATTTTATAAAATAGAAGCTTCTGCCAGTTGTGGCGTCTGCTGTCACTGCAATTTAGTAGTTTGGCCCTTCTTTAGAGGGTTGAATTTCCTGGATTGAGATTTTCAGCAATGTTTTATATAGGTTCAATCACTTCTTCCTAAGGCATCCATATTTAATTTCATGACTGTTTTCTCAAACCTGTATCATGTCTTGAAATACTTGAGGGAATAGGACTATCTGAATTACCAATCTTTGCCTATTTTATTATATATAACCATAACTGAGGTAGCTTGTTTTACCTTGTTGCTGATGGATTTCATACAAATTAAGGAATTTAATAATGGTGAAGACAGTCCAGTGTGTCAGTTTTAATGGTTTGGAACAATAGGTTTAGGTTTTCTCCTTAGAATAACATACCGCAATAATAATACCAAAAAATGATGATGCGATAATATGTGACTATAAATAACACTTATTTAAAAATGGGCAAAAATTCCACTGTCACAAATGGAAATATGAAAAAAACAACAACAACCAACTCCAGAAGTAATATGATCTTGCTTGGTTACATAAAATAAATTAAAATAAAATCTTAACAACTCCTTTAAACTTTGCCATTTTTGAAAAGTAATATAACCCTTTTTCAAAGAGTCAGGAGCCACATGCAATTATTGTGAGTGTTTGAAAAGCTCAGGAAAACTTTATGCATTGAAACATGATTTGAGAAGCATAGAAATTTTAACATCAGGAAAGTCTGATCATAACCAAAAAGTAATTTGTGATTGTGTCCAGCTCATTTATGAATGTTTTGTGATCCTTAAAATGAAGCATTTTCCTTAGCCCTAAAGGAACCTGATAAGTGGCAGCTGAGTTATAATTCAGTGTGCCAAATATACTGTTAAAGTGCTTTATATTTTATTGGATGTTCAGAAGAAAGGAAATCTAGGAAGATTTAATCTAGATGTTCACACAATGTATTAGAATTTATACTTTAAGCTTTTTCAATGATGAGGCATTTTCAAAGCTATTCAAAAATATCATTTTTGAACAAGTGATATAAAAGGGTCTTCTCAGACCAGATCAGAGGCTGCTAATATGTACAGCAGTGTTTCTCATCATTGGCAACTTTAAGATGTGTAGACTTCAGCTTCCAGAATTCCCCAGTTAGTAAATTAGTTGCAGGATTGAGTTATGAAGTGTCTTTTAGACCACTGGTGATGGCTGGGAATTATGATGGAAGTCATAGGACCTAGTTATCTTTGAGACCGCCTTCTGCCACCGACGACCTCCCATCGACCCGTGCGCTCCCACAGAGAGGGCCTCCTCGGGGTGCCATCAGCCAAGCAATGCAGGCTGGTGACCCCCAGGGGGAGGGCCTTCTCTGTGGGGGCTCCCACCCTCTGGAATCAGCTGCTCCCAGAGATAAGGAGAATCCAAGACCTCCGTGCCTTCCACCGCGCCCTTAAAACTTACCTTTTCCAACAAGCCGGGCTGGCCTAACAAATTTTTTAAATGATTTTAAATTCGGTTTGTCTTTTTAAATTTTGGGCCAAATTGAGATATTTCCTTTTAATCTGTTCTTAATGTATTTATTATGTATTTTTATTTGGCTGTACACCGCCCTGAGTCCCTAGGGAGAAGGGCGGTATATAAATTTGAAGTAAAATAAAATAAATAAAAATGTTGCCACTCTGCAGCTCAGTTGATCAAAAAAAGAAAAATCAGGCTGATTTATGATGATTACATTACATGGAATAGATCAGGACTAAGTTTCCCTGGTCTCTGATAAAATAATACTAGGCTAGCAGCATCGGATTTATTTATCCATCAGTATGACCTGTATTTTACAAGCTCTAAGTTTGGAGCCCTATTTTGGACCATGTTCTTTTGAGCCTGGGGTCACTTCAGCAACAGCTGCTCAAACAGGGAAAAAGGGATACAGCATACAGGAATTATGCATGATAGACATAACTGCAAGCATATTATGTTGAATGTTTAGCTCATGAACTTTTAGACATCCAGTGGTTATTGCACTGGGCCATGACATTCTATTTTTGGGCTTTATGTTTACAGCACAATCCAAAATTAGCTAGGCATTTATAGCAGAGACTTCATTGACTGGAGAATGAAGAATGAAAATGGAGATTGAGAAGACTGCGGCCTAATTTGTAGGTTATTTTTCCAAAGCTTCTCCATCCTCAACTACTGCCCAGTAAAAGTAATTAGAAGCTTAAACAATAAAATTATATGCCCTTAGAAAGCAATCTAAAAGGTGTCACAATGGAAAGAATAGCCAACTGAAAGTCCCTCGCATTGTCCTACCTACCTACTGAGCATGTTTGAAGGAAAGGTCAGAGTTTGGGAGAGATTTCTGAGGGGAGCAATGTGTAACAAATACTACATACTTTCTCCACAAATATCTGGTTCTCATTTAAAATGATTTGGCTACATATTTTTATAGCAAATGCAATTCCTTTTCTTCTGGGAGTTGCAAGTTATCTTCTTCTCAGATTTTCCTTCTTTTTTAACCTGATGCTTTACTCTGATTCTTTCCATCTAGGACCCAGAACTGAATCTTCCCTGGCCTGGAAATAACAGGTGGGACAAGGATCAGGAGCAGTGGTGAAATCTAAATTTTTTTACCACTGGTTCTGTGGGTGTGGCTTGGTGGGTGTGGCAGGGGAAGGATACTGCAAAATCTCCATTCTCACCCCATTCTGGGGACAGCCAGAGGTGGTATTTGCCGGTTCTCTGAACTATTCAAAATTTCTGCTACCAGTTCTCCAGAATCTGTCAGAACCTGCTGGATTTCACCCCTGATTAGGAGTCTTATTTAAAGGACTTCCTCCTCTGTCATTTCCTCTGGTTCTTAAAACTGAATTAATAGTAGCTCTCCAAGGACTTAAGAAGAGAAAGCACATGAACAATTGATAACTTACATTAAGTATTAGACATCTCAACCCCAGGCTAAAATTAATGACCAAAAGATAAGGCAAGTTTGGATTGATTCCATCAGTAAAGTGACTGTTCACTAACTTGATCAAACTGATCATTAATTCATTGATTCATTTTCTATAGCCATCCATTTCATGACTCTGAAATTAATGAACTGCTCATGTACATGAAAAATGAGAGTTTTTTTTAAAAAAGTCTTTGTGATATGAAATAAAAAGGAAATGCAAAATATAGTTTCCTTGCTGTTTATTGTAATAATTTTTGCTGACTGAATTCATACTTTTCACCAAAATATGAAAAACTACCTGACATTGTTTCTGACTGTCAAAAGATAGTTGTGCTAAATTAATAAAAAGTCCTCTATTAACACAAAGGCTAGTTAATTAGGGAGACTCAGCTTAAGCCTTCTGTGGGGGATAAAGTGATGCTAATACTGCTTTTGATCTTGTGGAAATTTTATTCTGGATCAGTGATGAGGCGATGGCTCCTGCACAGTCCATTGCTGTCCTTTGTGCATCCCCTTGAAAATAGGAAAGAAATACTGAAGTCTGCACAGGATATCGCCCAGCAGATTCAAAAGAGTCAAGAACGCAGCTGTGACCATACAATTAAACCCCAACCTCCCCCCCCAGCAATGCAATGGATGTAAAAATGGGGTGGGCTTTTGATTACACTGTTGCACCTGCCATCTTGACTTTTCTCAAGCTGCCCGTCCCTGCTTCAGGGGAAGAGACCATCCCGTTGTAGACATATTCTCCATATCACTCAAAAAAATAAGGATTCATTGTAAGAAATTTCCTTTTAATCCCTCTGTCTCTCAACTGGTTCTTGATGTAAATTGCATGAGCAATGTTGTAAAAAAAAAAGTCTGCATGTGCCTCTCTTAACACTTTATGAAGAGTTAAAACTTTAGAAGTTCCCATGTTTATCACATACACTTTTTCCAGTTTAAGAAGTTTCCCATTTAAATAGAATCAATTAAAAAATGTTCTTGTTGGATTAACACTTTGCTTATAATGTTATGAGATTGTAGGGCACACTTAATGTAAGGATATGGCTTCTAAAACTAGATGGGAAAAACAAATGGGTTTAGTTAAATCATTTTAAATTAAATGTTATATTCATTTTCTCTTTTAATAACACAAAAGGCACCTTTCACCTTTCTCTATAATTTTTATTTCCTCACATATATGTCCCCCAGATTTAATTCACTGAAATATCCATTTACATAGAAGATGCAACACTATTGGAAGTGTTCTCATACATTCATACATTCAAGAATATTCCTTGAGCATAATTCTGTGAATTAGAAAGAACTCTATCAGCAATCCCCACTTCCCAACATAAACTATTATTTTCATGATCTTAGTTTTTGGAAATAGTACAACTAAGAGCTTCTAAAATATTTTGTTTGCCATTAGATTTTTTTTTAACCAGTGATAACTACACTGGGAACATGTCATCTGCATTGTACTTTACTTTCTAACTGAAGAGATTTGTGTGTGCATATATATATATATATATATATACACACACATATGTAGAATTAGTCAGTCTTACATACTTTTTTCAAAAGAGTATCCTACCTCTAAAAGTGTTAATCAAGACTGAAATGAAACAGGTAAGCAAGCTGGTCAACAGCTTCTCTTGAGAATTTTCCAAGGGTTTCTGATCAGATGCACGTATAACTCCCACTGCATGGATGCATGTGTGAGTGTTTTTCTGTAGTGAAATATTTTATTGAAATTTTAAAGATCATTTTGAATGGAAACACTACTTTGTGTGATATTGCAGAGTGAAAGCATTTCTATTTCTGCTTCTTGGGAAATTAGCCTTTTCCTCTCTACGTAATACCTTAGTTTTTCTTTCTTTTTTAACCATCTTCTTGACTTCTCCCTTTGGACGGAACTGCATCTAAAGCAAACACAAGAAAAGCTCCGAAAATCACTTACTTGTACGACATGAATTCTATTTAAATTATCCAAAGTTCAAATTGTTCATAATAAAGATCAGCCCTTGCTTCTCTTTGCACAAATAAGCGTCTAATAGAAATTACTCTAAGATTTTTAAAATCCTTTTTTAATGTAATAAACCTCATGAATGTAGCATGCTAAGCTTGCTATTTTATTCCACAGAGAATAAAAAAGAAAAAAAAATCATACAGACCACAACCATGAGATCAAAGTCTCTGTCTTAGAATAACAAACATTGAATACAATTATACTCAGTGGATTTAGCAGTCTTATCTGTGGTTGAAGATTTTTTTCCCCTGTAAAACAATAAGTGAGAGGGAAACAATCCAGTGTCATTTCATATTTCTCAGGGTAATTCTCTCTTCAAAATATTAGAATGTTAGAATGTTGTCCACTTCTGTGAATCTGCAAGTGTGACTTTCACGATGAACAAATGGATCACAAAAGTGGGAGAAACATTTCCGGTCCAAGGTAGTTTATACAGATAGACCAATTTAGAAGAAATGAAAGAATTAGCAATCTTACATGATTGAAGTAATCCAACATTAGGCTCTAAATCATTGCACTTAAAAAAAAGGTTTGGTCATTTTGCAGATCTGTACGTTTTTTAAATATCAAAATTATTCTAGGCATATAGTATATTAGAAGATAGTCAATCACAATATTTAGAAGGTGACTTTTGAAAATCTATTCTATGACTCTAGAACTCAGAAGGATCCAAAAGGATCGCTACTTCAATTACATTACAAATGATTGTCTTCATCCTTTTTTTTTTTAGCATCTTGAACTTTCAAAACATGAGAAATTTTCCATTCTGTTTCGGATCTCCTGTTTTGTTTTGTTTTTTAAAAAAAACAGGATCTCTATTCTGTGATTATATGGAATCCAGTTAAAAATTTGAGCCATTATATTTCTGCATTTCACTAAACCAGTGGTTCCCAACGTGGGGCCCACGCCCCACAGGGGGACAATTTGATTTTTAATGGAGGCAATTATATGTCACCTGAGGGGGGGGTCAGGATTTTTGAGATGCTTAGGTGGGGTATGGCCAAAAAAAAAGTTGGGAACTACAGCACTAAACAATTGCATCTGTTTGCTTTCACCTAAAGTTATATTGATCTTCACAGATACTGTATATCTTGTACTAGTTCAACCTCTTCCCAACTTAAATCAATTTTATTGTATTGTTTTCATTTGATTGTGAGTTAAGAGTGAATAAATAAAGAAAACTGTTTACAGAACAATTGTATAGCTTTTAGAGACAAACACTGTAAGATTTTCTGGCATCAACCTGAAGGAGAGACAAAAAAAACACATTTTTCCCACTTCTTCACTTGATGGACAGAAATCCTTTATCGGCTGGAATACTATTTTCTAGTATGAGAGCAAAGGGCACCCTGTACATGCTTTCTTTAATTCTTTTTTTAAAGTTAACAATGTTTTTAAAGCTTCTATATCAAGGGTGTCAAACTCAAGGCCCAGGGACTGATCCAGCCCACCGAGTGCTTAGATCTGGCCCACCGGGCCATCCTGGAAATAGTGAAGGACTAGCCCGCGGTGCCTCTGCCAGTAAAAACAGAGCTCTGGAGGGTTGCGTGTGGTCCACCCGAGCTCTGTTTTCACTAGCAGAGGGTTGCAGGAGGCTGTTGCAGCCGAAAATGGAGCTCTGGACCATTTTCACTGGCAGAGCACTCAAGCCACCATAGGCACCCCCGACATGAGTGACATCGAGCTGGCCACACCCACCCTGGCCCCCCAGGGCCAAACACAACCCTGATGCGGCCCTCAATGAAATTGAGTTTGACACCCCTGTTCTATATCATCAGCTTCTAAGGAGTGTTCAAAAAATGAACTAAAATAGAGAAATTGAATGAATATCCCCAGTACTACTGTGTCATTTTAAAATAAAATGTAAATTCTCTATCTCTCCCCACCACAGCCTATATGTTCTTTTAATTGCTGCCATTATATATTTCCCAATTGGATCATTCCTTCGGACGTTTAAGGTTCAGATTCAATAAGCAAAATTATTTGTTTTTATTCAATAAAGCATTTTTTCCCCCTTAGCTTTATCATATGTTGTGTCCCCAAATGAGAACTGCCAACATTGTGCAAACAGGCAAACTGTGCAGGTTATAAAACTAGGGACCAATGATTCAGATTTCACAAATACCAAGATTACAGGCTGAAGAAGATAGAGTATTGAACTGTAAGTTTACATTTTGAAAAGCTTTCTCTATGTTAATGCAGAGAGAGGGCAGAATTATAAGTTATATTTGAAAGAGCTGAATTAGGGAAGAACTATGATTTGCAAACATTTATGTCTTTTATTGCGCGGCTTTGTCTCTGAAATTGGATGCAGCCGAATTGAGGTAGTGCAGTCCCTCCTATAGAAAATTCTTCTTCTCCTGGCCTTGCTTTATTTTGGTTTCAATGACAGACACTCCTAATTTGCAGAAAGCATGACCTCTAGGCCTTCTCTCTTCTCCCTTGGGGAGGGCCAATCAGTCAGATTTCTCTATGTCTCCTTTGCTACCAGAGTATTTCAACTGGTTTCCCTAATTTCTGCTAATTCCCATTTCCTTCATAATCACAGGCTTTTATGTGACTTGCTGGCCAAGCGATTTTCAGCGGAACGACAATTGCTGCGGGTCTTAAACATTAACCCTGCCAGGTGTCACTGCAGGAATCACTTTGGCATTTGATTAATGAGACCAGAAGAAAGAAAAGTGTTTTTAACTGGAACTTCTGTTTTTCTTCTTGTTCCAAAGACCTATTTGCACACTTACAAACATACACATATTAACATCTCAAATGCCACTGAAACCATCTAATAGTTTTGTTGGCCAGAAAAAATGGTTATTTGAAATAGAGGAGTGTCTAGAAAGTCTAGAAAGCAAGAGTAGAGCCATGCCTTAACGATACATAAAACAGATTTGTATATCAAACAGGTTGCATTTTGTTAATTATATACAACTGGTAAACAATTACATGTAACCTTAAATGGAAAAAAATTGGAAGAAATGCATTGGTCTTAGCAAATGCACTTATTTTTTATCAGATGCTTAATACATCCATACACAGAACATCAACAGTACGTACAGCTTTGGTTTTTTATTCAGAGAAGTAAACACAGTTCCACACAGTGCAGTGAAACTTACTTCAAAGTGAATCTGTATTGAATCAGGTTATCAGACCCATTGATCTAAGAATAAAATGCTCATATCTATTAGCATCAGGGAGATATGAGATCATTTACATTTTCCAAACAGCACCTGCAAGTTATAGTCTAGTAAAATGAAGTCTTATTTAGTTCTGGACAGCTTAAAATGCAGTTGTTGTTTAACACGAATTTTATAGTAATAAAATTCTATTTTATAGAATTATTATTATTTTATTACTATTTATAGTAATAATAAAAAGAGTCTGATATGATCAGCATTGGATCCTCATTTGTTCATATAAGGCTTATTCAGTCGAGCTACAAATTTCTGGTGCAGCTATTGGCAATAAAAGATCTCTTTGTTATGCATACTTCTACCTAATTAAAGACTGAATACAAAGTGTGCACTTTAACTTCAGTGCTTTCAAAAATATAACATTTTATTGCCCTTAGATCTGTTTTAATAGAGTGCTATCCTTGAAAACAAAATCCCAAGCCACCCCCAATTTGTTTAACAAAATGTCCAGGAACCAAATACATTTATATAAAAAAAAAACTGCAACCTTTTACTTGCTGTTAAAATTATATTAGAATATAATAACCACAGATTTGCTATATGCTATTGACAATCAATTTAATCATTTTATTAGGAAGATCACCTTGAATATTTTAAGCTTTTGTTCTTTTAAATGCATCACCCCAATTTAGTTATTCATTACTGAACAGGAAATTACTATGCAAATAAAATAATGATTTTGTTTTGTCCAAGTTTAACGTTAGAGTTAGAACTTTGTTCTGCACCTGAATCCTATTATGCTATTTCTGTTTTGTCTGTTCTGCTTACTGTTGTGGGAGTTAGGATACTGAGAGTTTGTCCTTGCAATCCACTAACTGTAGCAATAGGTAAACCTTCTGAAAAATTAAAGGGGTTTAGTGAATAACAAGAGATTTCAATATTCAATTTCAGAACAGTATTAACACCTAGACTCCTGTGGGGATTCCTCTTCCTATTTTAATTTGGAATAGAACACTGCCCCCCTCCCCCGGTCTCTGTGTGTATATGTGTGTGTGTGTTGGAATTTGGCCTTGAGCATTTGTATCCAGAGCAGTACAGGAAATTATAATAGAAATTGGAATTAAGTTTAAATTACAGCATTTCACAGCAAATGATTATTCGAACTATTTGTTTCAGACATTTTTGATGTATATTTCCTGTAGATTTGGCTCAATCTGTAATAAAGAAAGCCAAAGCTACAAATGAAGATTTATTTGTAACAAGATTTACTACTAATAAGAATGCAAAGTTGACAACAGAAGGGACAGAGGTAGAGTGGGGTATGGAAAACCACAGTTAGTGATTTCTTGTCTCTAAACTGTCTAGATACACATAATAATACAGCTCCAGATGAGTGCTGAAGGGACATATGTCATTTCAATTAAGCATATAATAATTTTAGTTGACATTTTAAAACATTCCATGGAAAAGCATTTGATATATAATATGGGGATGCCAATAAGAATACACTCTTAATACATTGCAGATTACATGTGATCTTAAGTTTAAGATTACCATTCTGCAGAAAACTAATTGAAGCAGACGTTTCTCCTGTCTACACTGTTTGCATTGCCATCTTTTCAAATGCAAACTTCGAAATCTTCTTCATCTGATATGCATAGAGGAGGAATGGTTTTAATTTTTCTAATTCCATTGCAAAGATATTTAAAGGTTTTATTATTAAAGGGGCAGGATTTACATTTGCTTTGGTTGGTTTTACCAA